GCGTGATCGCACAGCACCTCGGCAAAGGAAGAGATCGTGAGCACGAGAGAGAGAGAGAGAGAGAGAGAGAGAGAGAGAGAGAGAGAGCGAGAGAGAGAGAGAGAGAGAGAGAGCTGCTGTGCCAACGGTGTGATGACTTGTAATACTAATCTCTTTGTCCCTCGAGGAACGCGATGATGGTGGATGGCTACTCGAGTTGCGCTCGACATGAGCAGCGCAAACAGACAACTTTTGGCCCGCATTCTCGAGGAGGGCGCTCTCCGCGGTTGAGCCGGATTACTATTGTGCTGATTCACTTGCTCGGGGAGGGGGGGCGGGGCTGGCTGGCGTTCCACCGATAGCGACGCCTGTCAGACACGCGTTTACTGCCGATTCATACGCGAGCGCAGAAGTGTGGCGCGGCGACACACCCCTGAACCTTGACCGAGACGACACGGGCGCAATAGCTCACTAACGGCTTACAAGCAAGGCGCGCGCACGGTGATGGTGAAACTAGTACGCACTAACTGGGGATTTCCATCATTAATGTATACAAATCTGAGCGATCATTTTTTTCGACACACATTTTCTGTGTTGATTTGAACAGTTATATATCATTCACATTTACAAAAATCATGCAATTTTGCACACAAAGTTGTACAAAACGAAAGGTCGTTAGGTTTAACTTAGCAAAGGACGGCGAACGTTCCCACACAAAAATATACAAATACATTTAGCGTGAGCACACTTCGCCGTTCCGACGAAAATCGGTCATCGCGGTCATTTGGTGGCGCAGCGCGGACTGACGTATACCCAGACACACACACACAAACAAATATGTGCCCGTGTGTATGTGACGAGGAAATGCGGAGCGGCGGGCAGGCCGGCGCCGTCGACACCTGCAACGGATGCCCTGCGCCGTGGCCGCCGCGTCGTGTGTTGTCTTAGATAAGAAAAAAATTAAACCAAAAGAAAAGAGGCCGAAACATAAATCGATCTCGGTGTTATCAGTGACGCCAATTTACAAATTGCTTTTTTGTTGTTGTAATTTCCGTGTCGTCAATGAGGACGCCGAGAGTCCGGGGAATCCCCTCTACGGGCTGCGGGCTGCAGGCTTCAAGCAGCGCGCCGGGCGGGACCGTTCAAACAAGGCCGCCGACCTCGGTGGAGATTTGCGTGACAATGGCGAGGGCAAGAGAGTGAGAGAGAGAGAGAGAGAGAGAGAGAGAGAGAGAGAGAGAGAGAAGGGTCATCACGCCCCGGCAGCGACGACGCGGAAGGGGCGAACGGGTTTCCGGATGAGGAGTGGGAAGGGGCAAGGGGTGGGGACGGGGAGAGAAATTGGAAATTATAATAATCCGTATCAGTTGGCCTGTCGCGCTAGGTTAAACAACGTTTGGTGATTAGCGCAGGACAAGCCACTCGACCGCGTGCACAACTCACGGCTCAACCAGCTGCCACACAGTTAAGAAAAGAACATAGTGTATGATTTTTGTCTTTGGGCCTGCCGAGATAACAGAAGCGAAAGTTGGAAATTTATGGAAATACATTTCACAAGAATGTAAATAAATGATCACACTACGCTTGAATGGCTGCACATTCTTAAAAAATTCAGTTGAACGAAATTATAATCACAATATCTGAAGATTTAGATAAATACTTACAACTTTTCTGACCCGCAACGCGCCGCAACGTGGTCCGGTAGGGCGCTCTACAGCGGATTCATATTTTCAGATTCAGATTCAAAGAGCGCGTAGCGCGCATTGGGTTCATTTTCCGATGCATAGCGCGCGGAGCGCGCATTTATTGGTTTTCATAGGTACAGTACAGGGGTACATGAGTATTTGTAAATGCAGGGGCGTCCTCCCTTGGCTTCACTTCGACCAGCGTGCGTGCCAGGCGCACAGCACCTCGAGGGCGAAAGCGGCCAAGCCCGCAGCCTGGCCCACCCCCAACACGACGAAGGCCGACCCCAGCTGCCACAGCGTCAACGGCCGCGGGCCCTGCTGCAGCACCGGCCTTCTCGCGTGGTGCCGGCGCTCCCGGGCGTACTCCTCGCTGCGCCAGCGCGACAGCAGCCCCGACGCCTCCACGAGCGCCAGCGCTCTGGACAAGGGCCGCTCCAGCGGCGAACCCCGGGATGCCTTGCCGATGACACTGTAGCCGGGGTAGGGCAGCTGGAAAAGATGCAACTTCTTGGGCGGTATCATGAATTTTTGGATATGGCTGCCAATATGTCGGTCCATCATCGTGATGAGGGCGCAGTTGCGGGCGGTGGCGATCGTGTCGATGATCGTCCTGATCTCTGGGTACGCCACGAACTCTGCCTGGGTGGACAAGTTGTTGCTCAGTGGAAGACTGTGGCTGTACATTACGTTTGTTAGCACTTTCAGGGGCAGCCCACTGTCCTCGAGGTCCTGCAGACTGTCCAGGTCACGCCTTGGTACAGCCGAAGATAGCTTGCCCAGCAGCAGGCCCTGGTAGGCGGCGGTCAGCACGACGCAGGCGAGCAGCCAGGTGGCCAGCATAGGCCGGGGCGGGCCGGGCGGCGGCGGCGCCTGACCCAGCAGCGGAGCCAGCGCCTGCAACACCGCTCCGCTAACGTCCCGTGTCCTGGCGCACCTCAAGAACAGCACCGTGCACAAGGTGGCCAATCCCGTGGCGCACCACAGCCCAGCGGAGAACTCGACCGTCACTGCCTTTAGGACGCTGACGCCGGTGCCGAATCCCGCGGGCACGATGGCGATGACTGGGACCACCTCCAGGCCAAGCACATTGTTTATGTCCATCGTTTCGCCCGGGATATTGAGAGGCACGTCTGCGAGGAGTGCGTCCAAAGCGCACTTCCTAAATGCGAGGCGAATTTCACCACTTATCCTCGATACTACCTTCTACCTTACGGTTTTCGGCGATCCTATGCGATGCCGCTGTTCTCGGCCCATTTGACAGACGCTTTTCGCCAGCTCCTTGATCGAGTGCGAGGTCGTCAAGCCTTTCGCAGTAAGAAGGAACAAGGTGAGGGGTCGGCTCTTGCCTCCACTGCGCCAACCAGTGCAGAACGGGTGGAAAACGGCGGCCGTTCGGAGCCAGCGCTGCTCGGCGGTCAACCACTCGTTCGCCCTCGAGATGACTAGCACCCTCTTTCGGAAGGCGACAGTGTCATCCTCCTGGCAGGTCAGATTGTAGAGGGTGGTGCTGCCGTCAGGGGCGGTGAGCGCCATGCGGTACTCATAACGGAAGCCAAGCCAGATGCCCGAACGGGAGACGCGCCCCAGCACCTCGTTTCGGGGAGTCTCCACCGTGGCCCAGAAGAGGACCCGAATCACTGGAACAGGTCTGTAAGCCCTCATGGCGGCGAGCAGCTCCTCCGGGCCGTGAGCGGTTACAAGGTGTACGCAGTGCGTGCCCATAAGAACGTATTCGAGATGAGGGTGTGGCAAATACCCGTAATTCTGAGGAAGCACACTCGGATTCAGCACTCGCGGGATGTCCGCGGACAGCTCCCCGAGGAAAGCGCCGGTCCAACGCGTGCGCCCGAACAACACGAGGGTGGCCGTCGGGGACCTCATGAACGGCGTGAGCAGGGCCGCGGCGCTCCTGGCCTCGGGGGGCGCGGCCGAGTCCACGCCGGGAAGGTCGGCCTGCACCCGCACCCCGGGCGTCGCCACGCAGCAGAAGAGGGACAGGACGAGGAGGGCCTCCATAGTGGCAGTACCGACCGAGTCTCTAGCCGTACTGGCAGCCGAAGCGAACCCAGTCCAACACGCGTGCCCATAAATGGAACCTTTCTATACACTTTCGATCTCCACCTTCAGAGGCACGAACAGTAGGCGCCCACCTGTAATTGGACGTGTGAAAAGACTTACGGTAAGCGACAAGTTAATAAAAATATGTGTTGTCAGTCGTGCGAATATAGATCGATACAGTAGTCAGCGGCGAAGAGGAGGGCTGAACACTGGCACGGCAGAGAGAGAGAGAGAGAGAGAGAGAGAGAGAGAGAGAGAGAGAGAGAGAGAGAGAGAGAGAGAGAGAGAGAGAGCCGCCCCTCTTTAGCGGCCTCTGAATTCCCCAAATCTTCATCTCCTGATCGTTATGGGACGGGTGAGCCACGGCTGCCCAGAGGAAGGGCTTTCCAAACGGGATGACTTTTCGGCCGGGAATGCAACCTCGACACCCACCTCTTCTGCTATATACACTTAAAAAAAATACACACACACAAACACAAATCGAAAAGAGAGGCCATTCTGAGGCACATCGGAATGCAATACAATCTGATGAGGTGACACACCGGCGCGCAGGGTGCATGTGCAGCTACGGTGTCGGGGCAGAAAGTGTTTGATGACACGCTGGCGGCCTGGCTAGAGGCCCGGCCCAAGTGCGGTGCATTCCCGGCGGGCCTAGAACGCCGCCGCGTGGGAAAAATCGAACATAATAAGGTGTCCGGATGAGCATGCCTCACATGCCGAAGCGAAATAACTATTCTGTGGCGTCATCCACAATGCGAGAAGTAAAATCGACCACGTTTTCGAGGCAGAGTATAGTTCGAGGTATAGTTCGTTGTAAGGTCGTTTAAATACTGCGTGATTTTTTTTTTGTGTGGGGGAGGGGTTCAAATATTATCGGGTCCCATGTCAGTCGAGTCCACAGACACCCCATTACATTTTTACGTCGTGGTACACAATATTTGCAAATATTATGGAAGTCCTACGAGCTTCCATGATGTTCCTAATCCATTTGGGACCCCATAACATTTTGTAAGACAAAATTTTGTCTTCCCAGGGAGACGCGAATTAAAAGAACAAAAATTTAAACAGGGAATGGAACCGTGTGTAGTGTACTAAAGGCGTAGGCAGGGCTGCACAACGACCGGGCGACGCCCCTTTCGGCGCGGAATGCCAGATATGGCGGCTGAATTAAAAGATATAGATTATGGACGGCGGTTGGGACCGGGCCGCCGCATTCCAGTCTAAAAATCGAACACTACTCAGATAAATAGCATAAGGAACCGTCCACAATTAATCTCGGTCGGTGACGTTCCGCGAAACGAAAGGATGACAGCACGTGTCAAAGTACAGAGAGAAGGGCACTTCGCGAAGTTATGTCGAAATAACGAAAATAACTGACACCATGATTCGGTATCGCACATCATGCTAGTTAATGTTTTGGCGTATAGTAGAACCTACGATAGAGAGGTGGTATTTTTTCTACCATGTTGGGGTATTGTCTCTAGGTAAGTTAAGTCAATGTCGAAATTGTTAAATTTTTGGTGTGATCATCTTGCTTTATGTCGGCAAACATGTGAGATGTTTTTTACTGTTGATGTTGGTTGCACTGTTGTCAACCCCTGTTTGCTTCTTTGATCAAATAAAGTCAATCTTTGCCCAGACTTCAAACGAGCAAGGTCTGATTCATTCCACATCAATCCTCATCTATCAGCAAGAGACTGTCAATTTTATCAGAAATTGAGAGTCGGTCCCTTCCCACTGACTTGTGTGCGTGTTGTTTTCGTCCAGGGGACAAGGGCGCCGTGAAAGTTGGAGACAACGACTCCGCCGCTGCTTCGTTTCAATGAAACAAGCAGCCGTTTGCCAACGTTACGCGCCTGGACGGCCGCACCGTGCGACGGCGCGTCTGCGCGCGTGGGTGTTGGTGGCAGCACTGGCGCCGGCGGGAGGGACTCTCGTCCCGTTCGGTTGGCGGCAGTGGCGCGGTGGCCACCGGCGGGAAATGCCAAAGCCCACCGGCACCGCCGCCCCGACGGTCCCGCCCGGCCATTTAAACGGTCGTAAAAACGATGGTACGGCTTCCCCGCGGATGGCCCACGGTTGGACAGCAGCCGAAGAGGACCCCTCCTTCCACGGACACGCGCACACACACATACACGCAGCCGCGCGCACACATACACTATTCAACCGCTCGTTGATTAGAACCGAGCTCACTGTTTTATTTTTCACCTTTACGAGAAGAGCAACTAACTTTTGATTCATTGCGGCACAAGCTGGCTGGATCAATTGCAGAGCGATTAGTAACCTGGGATACTGCATGTTTTTATACGCTCGATTTCATGCTTTTGTTGGATTTTGAGCGATTTTGAGGAATACTTTGTTGATTTTATGCCCATTTGCTAAATTTAATAAGCTCTTGTTGAGCGATCTATGTCTGTACCGGGTATGTGTATCAGAGCGGCGGACACAGACGTGTTGCGGGTCTGCCTACTCCTGCTTCCTCTCGAAAGGCGCCACATGGCTCCTGCAGCCTGCAGCCTACTCTGCAAATCTAATTATGACAGTTTAAAATGCGAAACTAAAAAGCTCTACAGTAGTTTAGACTGAAAAAGTGCATAAGGCTAGTCTGACAGTTCAAACTGTTGAAATGCACAGTTTTGCAGTTTAAACTGTAGAACTTTTAAGTGTCGCAATAATTGGAACTATAGATTTTTTTAATTTCGCAATTTAAACTGCAAGCCTTTTAGTTTTGCAGTTGCAGAGCATGATGGTATGCAATCCCGCCACACTATGTGGAATGTGTGTGGCTCGGATTCACCAACTACGTGTAGCTCTGAACGCTATGCACTTCTACAAACTACGCGGTGCGGCTGGCGGCCCTTCCATTCTCCCTTCCTTATCCGCTGCCCACAAGCAACAGAAAGTTATCTTTGTGGGTCGATTGGATCGCCGGTGAGCCGGGCGGGGACTGTCTCTAACGCTACAGTCGGGCGGCAGAGCCCTGAGCGCCTCACTCCCTCGTTTACCTCCTTCCTTGGGAAAATTAGGCACTTTCGAATCCACGAGGATCTGTTTTTTTCTTGGGGGTGGGGGGGGG